AACGCTTTTGGGAGTGTGGAATGTCTGGTCACCTGCTGCGCACTGTGGGTCTATCTGCCAACTCCTTTGTCACTACTGTATCCTGCAGTGACCTAGTGCCGACAGTGCGCAATGGGGGACCAGCCATCCAACACACCCAGAAGAGTGTCTGAAGGGAAGATTCTTTAGGCAAATGTAGCTATTGAGTAGAGCAAAAGCTTTAGGTGATGAGAGTTGAGAGAGAACAATCTTCTATTGAAGTGAGTGTTTGTTTGTTTTTTTTATTTAAAAAAAAATTTTTTTCTTCTTCTTTTTTTTGAAGGAGACAGTCACTTTAACCCTTTTGTTGCCACTGTCATAAGTATAGGCAGGGCATTATTAGGCTTGTTCCTGGGCTCACCTTCCTCTCCTGGGAGCCTGGGACCACAAAAAAGCCAACAGGATGGTGACTAGGAGGAGATCTCCTCTACACAGTATGAATCCTGGAGCAGTATGTTCCGAGCACTCCGGGTTGACAGCTTTCAAAGCCTGACCAGAAGAGCTAAGTAAACAGCAGATCAGGGATTCTGTGTCCCCACAGGCAGAATGAAGAGGACATATTAGGGATCTCCGGTTTCAAAAATGAGTTTTCCACGTTGCTCTCTTCTACTGTTAGAATGTTCTTTGGCAGCATATTTGACTGCAGCAGTCCTGATTGGCACCCATTACTGTCTTCCCTTTTTCTGAGTTCGGTTATAAGGCTGCAATTAAAGTAACTCTAAACTCCGGAAAAAACATTTCAAAAATACATTCAAGTACCTTAACTATTAACACAAATGTATCTTATTTGTGTATCACTCAGCTGTAAATCCTCAAATCATCACTGAATGCATGCTGACATTGTCCTTCCTTCTGTAGGGTGGCTACTTTTATTCCCAATGGTCCCTGTGTGTGTTGTAAAGTAGTCACCGCTCCAAGCTCACTCCTGTGATGGACTATAATCTCGTGTTTAGTTCACTAATTTGTAGTGAGATTGTAGTCCATCACAGGAGTGAGCTTGGAGCGAGCGGCTACTTTGCAACACACACAGGGACCATGGGGAATAAAAGTAGCCACCTTCCAGAAGGAAGGACAGTGTCAGCATGAATTCAGAGATGATTTGAGGATCTACAGCCGAGTGATACATGAATAGGTTCCATTTTGTTAATGGTTCAGGGACTGGAATGCATTTCTAAGATTTAACTCCTGAGTTTAGTGTCACTTTTAATCAAATTCACATCTTTAGCGGCATTTAAAATACTGTATATTCTTTTTAGTTCAGCTTTAATTTTTGTAGAATTCCTAATGAATGACGTGAAATAAATGAGAACTTTAAAGAGATGTCATTCCTAATGTGGTTTATGTAACAAAAAAAGAAATACATTTAACAGAAGTACAAGATAACATGAGATGTGAGATCATTTCCTGCCTCTGAGGTCACTTCCTGTTAGGTGTTTTGTTGGTTATGTGGTTCACTGACATTCTGAGCTATTGTGTCATGCAGTGGGAAGCACCTGGTTTCTGAGGGCATATCCTGTGATACGACAGAATGCCCCAGGAAACTGAAAAAAACACAGTTTTGAAATAGCATAACTATTCATGAGCGCTTAAAATAAACCTCATTAGCTCATAGAATGCTGGCATGTCATAATGGAATGGATGGCTTAACTTTACACTACATTTATCCTTGCTAATGCTGGAATGAAAGATATTTGAAAAAAAATTGCCATTTAAGGTGAAGGATTGTTGCATCGTTATTTTGAACAGGAATTCAGCTAGTTTACTAGTTACAGATCAAAGCCCCTCACAATTATGACATTGCTTAAAAGAGAACTATGGGCAAAACTTTTTTTTGCCCATAGTTCTCTTTAGAGTCACAGGTGGACATTTTAGTAATTTCCTCCTGTGAGCCAAAACTCAGCATACAACAGGCTTTTGCTTGCTATATGCTGACAGTACAGAGCTGCGCTGCAGCCAGGAAAGATCCAGACAATATTGTTGGGATCCACCCCCACACCTGATTGACAGCCGGCTTCACCTCTGTAGAGTCAGAGCCAGCTGTGCCCACCCTCTGTCCAGTCAGCGCTGGAGGAACGGAGAGGGTAGGGGGGAATCCCTGCGCGGAGCGGTGACTGACGGTCACTGCTCTCTGCCGGGAGAAGATCGTGAACTGTTTGTGATCAGCGGTGATCACAGCTTCAGTGTCGCACGTCGGCTCTAACTATTTGGATGAGTGTAGTTCACCTCATCCCATATTTCTCCTTTTAAAGAAGAACTTTAGGCAACATTTTTATTAACCTTTGCAGCGGGGCTACCCCCGCACTGCAAGGGTTAACTGCTTGTTTGTGTTTAGGGATTACATTAAAAGTTATACACACCTGAACCTCTGATCCAGTTTCCACTTAGACCGGTCCTTCCAGTCTCTCTCCCCCTCCTCTGCAGCAGTCTAAAGGTGCCCATACACTGCTCGATTCTCGAAATCCCGCGATCGTACGAGAATCCAGCAGTGTGAACGAAGACGTGCGACCGTTTCTACTGTACGGTCGCACGTCTTTTGTCGAACCAGCATGCTCGAAAACCCTCCGAGAATCGTACGATTGTCGGCGGGTTTTTAGCCTGCTCGTTCGACAGCTGCGGAATGGGCCGGTGTGCGCACGCGCACACTGCCCGTTCTGCATTGCGGTCATCGAAAGCCCGCCCCACAGCGGGGCGGGCTTTCGATGATTGCAAGTACGATCTGCCTGTCCAAGATGGGCAGATCGTACGAGCTTTTACTAAGCTTACGACCATCGCAAGACAAAAGTCTTGCGATGGTCGTAAGGTGTATGGGCACCTTAAGTTTCTTGAGTCGTCATGTTCTATAGACCGTTTATAGAATGCAAGGACACCAAGGAACGAACATATCAAGTTTCTAGTGTAGGTTACATATTTTTATTATTATGGCTTTGTGTGCTCTAACCAGGGCCCTGTGTTTACTCCGCGATATATGTATTTTCTCCAGGAAGTCCTACCATATTGAGCTGTCTCATTTCCTGAGGTTTGATGTTTCTGATATTGTTGGTAGAGAAGGATGAGCATCTGTTAACGCAGCTGGCTGTGAGCCTCATTCTGCTCTGAACTTTTCCTTACACGTTTTAGCTCTTTTATTGCATTCTAATACACACGGCTGACACCGCAGGCAATGTCTAATAAATAGGACTGCAAATCTATTTGGCTTTATTTCCCCCCCCCCAGATAAAAATGTAGTGAGTGCATGGGCGTACAGGGCAAGCAATACAACAAGAAATGCCTCCTACTGTAGCAGATGTGGTCCTATAGTAAATAAGAATTCATATCTACAGAAAACAATATTGTACAACTCAGAATCATTTGCCATTTAAAAGAAGACAAGAAATAAAACTTGTTGGCACCCCTCCATTGAAAAAGAACCCACAATTTACTCTGAAATAACTTGAAATGACCAAAGTAATTGGCATCCATCAATGTTTGTTCTGTATTTAACAAAAAAAATAGACTGCTTTTGATTCAACACGATATTTTAAAATGTATAACAAAATAAAATAGTTTGGATTAAAATGATGTAGCCCTTTTTTTAAAGTATTTTTTTTAACCTTTTTGCCCAAACACTTACAGTTCTGTTTCCAAACAGCTTAGCTACATCTCTCTCAGTTCTACGTCCCTGAACTTCCTGTCAATAGAATCACGAGGGACATAGCAGCCTGCAGCAGCTGAACATCTACTAGCTTGCAAAAGGGAGGAGCAGGGAGCAGAGGATTGGCTTATAATTTTCTTTCCAGTCTCGTAAAACAACTCTCTCCTTTGCTTTCTTTGGTTCATGTTCAGTATGGTGCACACGATGATACCAAACAGCAGAGTGACTAGATTTCTTCAATTAAATAGACTGACCGATTACAAAATTGAAGACCTATGTGATATTACAGAAATTCTATTATCTTAGCTATTTTTATATTTTCTTGGGGTACCAACTAGGGATGCACCGATACCAAGTACCATACTCAGTACAAGTACAGATACTTTTCCAGCTCCAAGACTAGAAAAAATTTGAAAGTTAGGAGGCAGCTGTCATTTGTAAGGAGCACACGGAGCTCCGGGGATTTGTACATCTCTGTTTTAATGTATGATTTTGTTTTTATAAATATATATAAGGGATGCACCGATACCATTTTTCCAAGTACAAGTACCGATACTTGTCCAAGTACTCACAGATACAAGTACTGATACATTTTTGTTTTTTGCCATGTGACAGGTTTTCTAAAACAATACAGACTAATGATTTCAGGACAGTGGTGCTGCGCCAGAGCCCGGTCCCAGCTGCAACCCTGGTACTTCTCATGAAAATGGCAAGTATCGGCACTGGTATTTGAAAAGTATCGGTGCATCCCTAGTACCAACAGATCTGTCCAGGCCATTTTAAAATATAGCAATAAATGATCTCTTTTCACACATTCTTTGTTTTACTCAGACATACCAAAAACATGCAGGTATACATGAGACAATTGCCTTTAAAGTGTTAGCAAGCAGTAGATATATGCAAAAACAAAACATTTTCAAACAGGTTAAAACTTACCTGTGTCTCCGCCGCGCGCTCCCATCCGAACATCTGAAGAGTCTCAGGTGGCCGCAAAGGATCTTGGGGCGGGCGCATGCCCAGTTCAGATCTTCGGCTGGGAGACGAGGAGAGACGCAAGGTAAGTCTATGGAGCAGCGTGCACCCGCATGCAGACACCGTGGGACAGGAAGTGCCAGCTAGCACAGAGGAGTCAGCGCTATATTGGAGACCATCACCAGCGCTGGAAGGACAGTTGAAAACTACAGCTGTAAGGGTACCAACAAATTTGTCCACAACTGTATAATCTTTTTTTTTTTTAATGTTTTGTGTAGTCTTTACACTGGTGATGAATTGATAAAAATAAGTAATGCCATTTACTTATAAACTCTTTAAAAACAATTAAATCAATGTTTTGTTTTTTTCTTGTTCCCAGTTTCAAAACAATCATTCAATATATAGATAACCAGTTTGAGCGCTACCTGCATGATGAGAGTGGTCTGAACAGACGGCACATCATTGATAATCGTGTTCACTGCTGCTTCTATTTCATCTCACCTTTTGGACACGGGTAAGCTGATATCTTGGAGCTCTTTTAATGTTTATTATGTTATTCAGACTGGAATTTCCGATTATATGAGGCACAAAATCATTCCTGCCTACATGCATGTGCTCTTGCAGTGTGTGCACATCATGTTTATTATGTTATTTAGAGTGGAAGTTCCGATTATATGAGGCACAAAATCATTCCTGTCTACATGCATGTGCTCCTGCAGTGTGTGCACATCATTGCTCAGGCTGCCTGATAATGACACTGTCCAAAATGCCTGTGCATGGAGTGTCGGCATTACCCCATACAGTCGGCACTAGAAATATATGTGACGGGGAGACAATGCAGAAGGGCAATTGGGGAACAGAACGCTATTTCCCAGCAAGTGCTTGAACAAGGACTCTCAAGGCTCGATGAGCAGGTGTTATTTTATTGGAAACTGTAGATTTAAAAAAACTGAAATTAAAAAAGAACTATGGCCCAACCTTCTTTTTTTTTGCCATACTTCTCTTTAGTCTGACAGTAGGACATATACTTATGTCCTCCTGTGACCCAAAACTCACCATATAGCAGCCTTTTGCCCGCTATATGCTGACAGTGCAGAGCTGTGTGTTTCAGCCTGACAGTATTGTCGGGATCAACCCCACTACCTGATTGACCGCTGGCTCTGCCTGCCCCCTCCCCCATCCATCCCTCCAGTCAGCGCTGGAGGAATAAATAGAGTCTAGGGGGAATTCCTGTGGGGAGCAGTGACTGACTATCACTGTTCTCTGCAGGGAGATAATCGGGAACCGAGCGATTGGCTGTATGTGATCGCTCAGTTCTCTATCAATAGAGCCAACGTGTGACACATAAAATGAAAATAGAGCCGACGTGTGACACAAAATGGAAAGCCCATCTTCGGGCAAAAAAAACCAAAAACCTCCTCTTGCAGTGGGGGTACTCTTGCACTGCAAGGGTTAACTGCTTGGTTATGCCTAGGGGACCAGGGTAAAGAAGTTTTATGTCCCTGATCCCAGTTCCCACTGGCTTCAAAGCAGCGCTCACAGCCCCTCCACTCTGGCGTTTGGACACCCGATGACCTGCATTAGACATGAGGATGCCAGGGGACAATCCACGAGCCTGTGTGGCGTGGGAAGAGGTACGTTCTGACCACTGGGGGAGCCGGGATCATGTAAGTAAATCTGCATTTAAGAATCCCTTAGGCCCCGTTCACACTGAGCAATTTATCGCACGGTAATCCGCGCGATATTGCTCTCCAATACATCTCAATGGGGCTCTGTCTGTCGCTGTCGCGGGTCGTGCGTCGCTACAGCAGGACCCTTTTTGGAGCGGATTTTGCCGCGATTCTAGTCTTTTAATGCAAGCATTTGCGCGACAAACGTGCGATTTGCAATCGCTCAGTGTGAATGGGGCCTTAGACATAAATGAGCAGTTAACCCTTGCAGCATGGGGGCAGCCCCACTTCAAGGGGAGGGTTTTTGTTTTTCCCGAGATGGGCTTTTAATATATCGCATCTTACCAGTCCTTAGATGTGATGGCTGCAGTAAGTTTTTTTCCCCCTATATTTTTACCTGGTAATCCTGCAAATTGCTTTAAAACTGACACATATCTTCCTGGAACATCTTTTTTGGTACCTTGGGATTTTGTGTTTGTCTTGTTGAATATATTTTTTTTAATGTTGCAGTATTTATTAGAGGTGCACCGAAATGGAATTTTCAAAAACTAAACCGAAATAAAAAAAATTGTCTGGCCGAAACCGAAAATGTTTCAGGGAAATATTAGGGGTCTAAACAGACCCCTGATATTTCCCTTTTATAAATAGAAAAAGAGATAGAGGACTTTGTGTTCTCAATCTCTTTTTCTGCAGCCCCTGTTATCAATGAACTGAATACCTCTATGAGTGTTCCTGTTCATTCATAACTTGAGAATATAGTGTGTTTACTATAACCACAATCATGAACAGGAGGGGATGTAGATCACTTCCCATTCATTCATAATTGAGGATATAGTACACATACTCTGTCCTCAATTATTTACAAACCGCTGAGTGTTTGCATTGGCTCTCCTTTCTGGCAGCTGTCACAGGAGGCTGGGCGGCGCTGGAGGAGAGCTCAGCCGCCTGTGACAGCGTTTGGCTGTCTCCGCCCCCACACCGCTCTGCCCGACTGTGATAGGAGGCTGAGCGGTGTGGGAGGAGAGATGCCAGCCGCTCACAGCGTTCTCCTTCCGCAGCGCTCGGCAGGCTGTCGCACTTTCTCTCCTCCCCGCTGGGACACAGAGCAGCGCCATTGCGAGGAGGAAAGAAAGCAGGGATGTGCCGGTGTATCGGCAGGAAAATTGCACTTTCGGCATTTAGCCAAAAGTGCCATTTGCTGCCGATATATCGGTGCATCCCTAGTATTTTATTATATTAAATGAATCCTGTGAAAAAAGGAATATTGGGTGCTGTCATTGTTGACTTGTTTGCGGTATAAACTATGGAGCATTCAGTAACTACTTGTAGCAGTTACTCATGATGCATTATTGCGTATACAATGTTGATTTTTGCAGAGGTGATTTTCTGCATTCTGGACACGGCCATATTACTCATTCTAGTCTAATAATTTTTTCCCCCCCCCCCAGACTGAAGCCGTTGGATGTGGAGTTCATGAAAGCTCTTCATGGAAAGGTGAACATAGTGCCTGTTATTGCTAAAGCAGACACCCTGACTTTGAAGGAGAGAGAGAGGCTTAAGAGGAGAGTAAGTACCACTTTGTGATGAAAATCACAAGGATCAAGTAATCATAAGACATTTTATTAACCCCTTCATGACCAGTGACATACAGTGTAGGGGGGGAGCTGGGGAGGAGATTGGCGAACCTCTGTTACCCGATCTCCTCCCCGTACTATGGGACTAGGAGCGATGCAAATTGCATCACTTTCGGTCCCATAGCTGTCAGTGCTGGGCTCCTTAAGCCCAGCAATAATCTATTAAAGTGCGATCTGTACTTCAATTGCTTATTTCAAGTGGAAAGGTGGCACTGGGGGTCTTTTGGACCCCCAACATCACCTTGAAGAGGACCTGTCACCACCAATCTGCTATCATGTGATGGCAATAAAAATAAAGTAAAAAAAATAAATAACAGTTTTTAAAATTAATATTAAATAAATGTAAAAATAATAAAACGTGTCGGGTGCGTCTACGTATGAGAACGACGATCGCGCTACACGTGTTTGGTATCGCTGCTCATGACGGAGTGAGGGCAATAGTTCTAGGGCCAATATTTATGCGCATGTCTAAGCTGATTACCTGTGGGGGCTTTTAAAGCGTCGTCTATGGACTTTTTGGGGTACTGAATTTTGTTGCAGTTTCACGGACACACACAATTATTAACCTGTGCTTGTTGGGTATCTATTTACTCGTTGTAACCTCATCTTTTATATTTATATATTTTTTAAATGGGTATTTTATTGTTTTTTGGGGCATTTAAGTGCATTTTTCACAACATTTTGGGGTTTGATAAGGAGTTGCGCTAATATCATGCAACATAAAAATTTGCAACTGCCACCATTTTATTCCATAGAGTCTTGGCTTTCAGAAAATATATAATGTTTGGGAGTTTTAAGTAATTTTTGGGCCTAAAATGTGGACTACATCATGTAAACAAAAAATGAAAAAAAGGCCTCTGTCATGAAGGGTTTAAGCATATTCATGTATTTTATTTATTTTTTTAGATGAGATTGTTGAGGTGTATCTGGGGTTGATTCATTTTGACACATACCAAATGACTACCACATGTCTATAAAATTGAATATTTTCCTTGTTTTGCCTGAAAATAAGCTGCTGATGAGAATCACTACCTGGGTGTTTTAGGTTTGGGAATTTTTTGGTACAGGAAGTCCCTTAAACCCAGCTTCCCCTACCCCTTTCTTTCTAGGTCTAAAAGGAAACCATAAAATCTTTATCACAATATTGTGTGCGCCAGACACAGGGCTGCGTGTGACTTTGTGTTTGGCAAGCACAGACTTTGTACAGAACAAAGGCAATTCTCCCCTTGTCTTCCTTGGAAATTAAACGTTAGCGCTCCTTGGCCGTTATTATAACCTATATATGCGTCATGATATATTAGCTTAGGTTATTGCAGACATGGTTGCCACAGATTCTGTGCTATAGTCTAATGACTTAGTGGCCAATCAAAACTTTCCCTGGGATAGTAAAACATCAACCAAGGTACAAGGAGGAAGAGCTGTCTTTGTTCTGTGTAGCAATTTTGTACATCTCTCATTGCTTCACCCATTATAGTGATTACTAAATAAAAACATTTTTTAAAATATTTTTTAGGAAGGTGAATAAGAATTCCTCTATTAAGCCATTAGGTGGAGGTTTAGGCTCCAGCATCTCCTTGGCCCCTTTGTTGTAAAATGCATGTTTCATTCAGTCAGCGCTCAATATCTTTAGCTGAAAATGTACCCCTACATAAATGAGTCAGGATCTTGGGCTTCTTCTCCCTCCTCTCTGACAGAGGTTTCCTGCCAGAAAGGAGATAACTGCTTTTTAGACAACTTTGTGCTCTGGGAATCCTTTGTCCTGTAATAAATATTAATTTGTAAGCCAAAGATTCTATATGTAGCATAAAAACAGCTATAAAAGCATCGGTTTACAAAAATAAATATTTAGTGAATTTGTCAACTAGAAGGTTCTACCCCCCCTGCCCAGTGTAAGTCACATATTCAAATACTTTTAGCCCTGCGTAGCTACAGTCAGATGTGCTGACAGTATCCCACCACTCTCCAGTGTTTTACCTAGCCTTAGTCAGCTACTAGTGTTTCGCCTGACCCTTTTACACATGGCTCATTAAAGCCCCCCTTCCCGCAGCAAAAGCCACACACCTAAGTGCTTACCTTCAGCCATGTTCCAGAGATCTTCACTGTGCAGCCCTGCCCGCATCTGGTGCCTTTTGCATCTCTCTCCATTCATTCATGTGCCCTGGTGGTAGCCCAAGCCATCCAGAAGTTTTTGGCCCCAGCCATAGAAATAAATGAGGTGCCAGCACAAAACGCAGTGCTGGGCAGAGCTGTATAGTAAGAGCTTTTGTTTGCTCAAAGCAGGTCACAAGGTCAGCTGCAAAATAACATGCAACCTGTCAATGACTTCTGAATGATGTCAGAAGCATTTTATACTAATGTCAGACTGATGCCATCAGCTGTTGAATAGAGCTGCATTTTGTCAGCGATGGAATGGTAAGTATTTCATCTTTGCAGGTGTGAGAAAATGTCTAACAGGCGACAGTGTCCCTTTAGATATTGTGACACAGTGCACAGAATGTGTGTAGTCAAACTCTGCAAGTATGTGCCTTCCTTAGTAGAAGCTTCCCACCATATATGTTAGTTGTTTTGGTGTGCTGGTAATCCGACTTGGTTTCCAGAAAATATTGTAAGTAGTATTTGGTCTTTAGTTGTAGAACCAGATTATACAGTGATTCACTTAGCATGCTGTCTTTTCACTTAATCTTACTGTGCTAGTAGCTGGGAGCCAAGCAGTTAAATAAGAGGTATTTAGGAGGCATCTCTCAGCTGATTTACTCAGTTAAGCTCAACATTGTAATCCTGCATTGCTAATTTACCAACAGGCATCCCCTGCCTGCCCAATACCATCAGAATGTTACAGACCCTCTTTGATGACAGTAGAGCATGGCTGTCTGAGTCCAGATTGTACTTTTTGATGTTCATATTGAAAATTGGGGAGTTTAGGATACAGAACATCATGTGTTACTAGAATTTTATTAAACGTTCATGTTCATAAAATTGATGAACTCTGTACAGAGTGTTCAACCTTGAAGTGTTGCTCTTATTCTTGTTAAAGTGTTAAAGAGCGGTGGTTGGCATCTTTGTAATATAAAATGTTCTGAACATGATGACAGCAAGTTCTAAAATACGTCAGCAACTTTTTGTGATTTCTTTTTTTTTGTAAACTGTTTTAAATCCTCCTTTCAAGAATTTATCACCCAAACAGTTATTTCACAAAGGGGAACTTCAGACGTCTACAAAGCAATTTTTATATCTAAAAGGACCACATATTGTTAACTCTGTTCAGGCTTAGTATGAATATGGAGTTGATATGCCTGTAAATGAACTGATATGATTTGGATTGGTGTATGGCCAGTTCTAACCATGTCGTAGCAGAGCTGTTCAAAAATAGAAAAGAAAATGATTCTCTACCCCGTTATGCAATAGATGTACTCCTCATTCTGTTGTAAGCCCTGCTGTGAGCATGATCTAATATGCGGGTTGAGCATGGACACCAGGTTATACAGTGCTGGGGACGTTATCGGTGTGAAAAGCCTAGGATTTGCCCGTTGACATAAGAGTGCGGCCAACTCCACCGAAAGTCCATGGTCCCATCGCACTCCTGACCGCAAAAAATCCTTTGAAGAAGTGGGTGCTTCGGTGGTCAACGGGTGGCAGCCGTAACAATCGTGAGCAGAAACAGAGACACCGGCACTCCAAATTGGCAAGCAAACGTCTATTTATTGACGTGCAGCATAACAAAAAATAGCACAGACACAATCCAAGTGCCCTCCGACTCTTCTTGGCTTCCAGAGACATCCTCGGTTCGGCTGAGCTGTCATGTCAAGTCAAGGTTTGGTTGGGGGAAGGAGAGTGGCACAAGCAAATGCTGCTGGTTGTGTTCACGTGGTTATGGTTTTCAAAGCAAATGTTTTCTAAACTGTTTTTGGTAAGTTCCCTCTTCTCAGTCAGTCAATGCAGATCTGCTTGCCATCACAGACCTAAAACTGTTCCCTGATCCAGTGGAAAAAAAGCAGTACTAGGCAACCAAAAGTGTCCCAGTATTTACAGGACTCAGTTATCTGATTTTACATGATGTTTCTTCATCCCATGGGACCTATTTTATTCTGAAAATGTTCAGTTTTTCTGATGTTGTGCTGTTAGCTGGTGTCCCGCTGGGTAGATCAGTATGCTGAATTGTGCACGTCTGCCTACTGCCAGGAAGAGGAAGAGCTCAGAGAACCGGAAGTTGTCATTTCGTTTTCGTTCCGGTAACTGCTCTAGTATTTCGTTTTCTTTTTGTTTTCGTTTTTTTTCCGTTTTTTCTGACAAACAGCCAAATGTCGGGGGAAAAAAAACTGAAAATATTTTGTCAACGAAATTAACACGAAGTGTAGTATGGTTTTGGCAGTAATTTTTTTTTCTAAAGCTAAACTCCAAACACTTTTATTTGAATATATTCCTCAATAGGTTAAGTGTGCATGAAATGCCCTTCCAAACCCAGATATTACCTTGTAACTGTGACATCATCACTAGGGATGCACCGATACCGTCTTTTTGGTATTGAGTGCGAGTACCGATATTTTTTTCGGTACTCGCCAGTACCAATACCGGAAATCCCATTAAGGAATCCAGGTGGTGTGTAATGACTCGCCACGAGGCTTCTCGATTAGCAGGGAAGCCGTCTCTATGCTCCCTCATCACCAGGTGACGAGAAAGCATGGAGCCGGCTTTCTGGCCAATCGGGAAGCCAGGCGCCATGTAATGACGTGTTGCCCGGCTTCCTGATTGGCCGGGATGCCGTCTCCTTGCTACCTCGTCACCAGGTGACGAGGGACAATGAAGCCAGCTTTCTGGCCAATCAGAAAGCTTGGGGGCGTTTATTGACACGCTGCCTGGCTTCCTGATTGGCCGGGAAGCCGGCTCCATGCTCTCTTGTCCCAAGTGACGAAGGCCAATCAGGAAGCCGGGCAG